TATTGCCTAAGAAATACTAAAATTGTGTTTGGTTGACATAATAGAAAATCGTATTTCCCATGAATTAGTTTCCTATGTTTTGTTTGGTTAACCTATGTAATACCCATGTATTATTATAACTTGAACTACTCTCCCAAAATTTTGAGGATAATAATGTAATTTACCCAAAATACATGTGGGAAGTTTGAGTGACCAAAGTAGGGCGTGAGAAATTAATTCCTATGTTTTGTAGGAATTTCAAATTCCTTAGTAATTTCCACTTCCTACATTTTTGCTAACCAAACAACTACTTTTAAACATATTTTCCATGAATTTGTATTTCCTTCATTATTAAAGTAAAACCAAATAAGACCATGGTGAGTGTCCGGTTGAAATGGGCGATTCCATGGGTTTTCACTTTAATTTGAATATCATATCATACTATCTACTATGACATGTTGGATTGAAGAATTCATCAACTTCAAAAATTGAAAAATAATTTATTACTTTTTATTCTAATTTTTATCTTGATTTTTTAATAATTTGTTTTATTATCTTGATTATATACGTACACTGTTTATAGCAAAATCCATGACATGTATCGTAGGAAACCACATAAAGTTATTATATTGAATATCATATGGTACTATCTACTATGGTAGTGCAAGTGTTTACAGTGCGTTAATAATCTAATACGAAGTATTTGCTAATTTCCAATCAAATAAAAAAAGTATTCCCTAACGCTTAATTAAGTTATACGTTATAGTTATAAATTACTAACAAATTAAAGGCATTCATTTATCATGACTTAGTTAAGCATAATTAAAACAAGTACTAACAAACTTTATAAAATTATATGTAAAGCTACTAAGCATCATAGGTACGCAATCAAAATAACTAATGTATCATTAAAAAAAAAAAAAAAAGTTGTTCATTGTAGTATGAACTACTTATTTTCACATTGCTAAAAATGATAAGATTTATCAAACTAAGCCTTGCATGAAAACAAATCCCTAAAATTGGCTAAAAAACCAGCAATCAATAGTTTATTAGGATAGCATGAGATATGCTATATATTCCTACTATTATGTCTATTCCTTAATAAGACTAAACATAAATAACGAACTAGCTAGTTGTCACTTAATTAGGAGAAGGGGAAGGAGGACTAGAACAATGGTTTTTAACAAGTTTAAAGAGAAAGGGGTGGCGAGCCTTGAAGATAGGGCAAGCCTTCCCGATGTTTTCTAGGGCAGAACAACATTCAGGACTAATGGAAATCTGGTGTGTCTTGTAGAAGCTTCGAAGATCACTTGAGCAAGCTTTCAAGTGAGGGTTGTGGAACGTCTTAAGACACTTGTTATGATGATGAGATAGAGTATTCGAATTGAACAAATCACTGTAAGCTGCATTATCGATATAAATATCATTTTCATCGTCGTTATCAATGTTGAGCTCATAGCCTTGAACTTGTGTTTGTGCCATTGTAATGGCCAAAAACAAGGCTAGAATAGCAAAAACAAACTTCATTTCGATGAATTTTAAGTCGGTTTGGAAATGAAGCGAGAACGCTAAAGTAGGGCGAGTAAATTGTAGGTTTGTTGTGGTTTAAGAGTGAGAGTTTAAAGGGTATTTATAGAGAGTTTATGACTTGCACGATTGAAAACTTCAGCTAATCACGATAAATTAGTGATTTGTGTTGGAGATACTAAGTCTAAATAATTTAATTAGTTTAATTTACTTAGTCAATATAGTTATCTCTTCGTATCTTTCTGTTTTGTAAAGTTGTTATACGTAGATAAATATTCTCTTGTAATTATCCCTAGTATTTAGAAAGTACATAATGTTGTATTTATCTTTTCTTAGTGATAGTCTTATGTAAGCCGATTTAAAGGCATCCTCTGGCTTTCCAAATCTTTTAATTTGCTGTTGGGTTTTTAAGAATGATTTATTTCCCTAAAAATTAGTATTTGAAATGGCAAGTAGGAAGACTAGGACTAACCATTAAAATGTTACATTGTTGTAGTTTGGTTACGATCTATCTCTCAAATAAAAAAGAAAAGGAAAATGTTATACATAGCCCTTAGAACTACATTTAAGTATTAAATATACACTAGAAAATCGTATAAATTTAGGAAATCATAAAAATATAAACACTAACTACACTGATTTGCGCGTGTTTTTGTCATGAATTCCTAATTTAATACAATTTTCAAGAGTTTATTTAATGCTTTATACATAGCCCTGATTTTATATAATTTTCAAGAGTGACGATTTTCAAAAGTTTATTTAATAATAATAATAATAATAATAATAATAATAATAATAATAACCCACAAATGTTTGTTTACTTTTGCGGCTACTTTCATTTTTAAAAATAAAAAAAATCGCACAATTTGCTATGGTTAAAATAATTTACTTTTTCCTATAAAAAAAAATCTTTCATCTATAAATTTATTATATTAGACGAATGATAGAATGATTTTAAAAATTCTTTTAACAACAAAGGATGGTTATAATCAATGCATGGATATAAAATTAATAAAAAAAAAGGGTCAATTACAATTTTTGTCATTTATTTTTTAAAAAAGGACTTTATTGGTTTCAACTTGGTTTTGAGTGACACCATAATAGGTTCAAATATAATAACTTAATAAGACCTTGTTTTATTCACCTTATTTTTGCCGAACTCTTTGTTCTTCTTTTTTTTTTTTTTTTTTTTTTTTTTTGTTTTGTTTAGAGAGCCACAACGACGGATGGTGAGAAATTGAGAATCGATCCCAGGATCCTTTGGAATCGAGAAGGAAGCTCTAACCACTTGACCTATCCTCCACTCTCAACTAAATTATTTTAAGTGTATAAATAATTTTATTAAAGTTAAATTGTTTAAATTATTTTAAAAATTAAAACTTATTTTCACCAAATTTTCATTATATTTAATCTTTAAAGTTACTTATTTTTATAGATTAATTAAAACATATTATAAACAAAAATTATTTTTAATGAACTGATTTTTTTTTTTGAAGCGACTGAACTTTTTTTTGTTAAATTGAAACTATTTTTAAAGAATATTATTCGAATGAATAATAAAAAATCTGATAATTTTTGCCAAAGTAAACAGTTAATCTTTTACAACACACTTAAAAATATGTTCATAATATAGCTTACACTAGTTTAAGTACTGTGCAACGCACGGTTGTTAATTAACTTAATTATGAATTACTATATAAATTTAACAATAATTATAAAAATAAAAAAAAATAAAAAAACATTTTTAGTTGAAAAAAATACTTGAATTTCTTTTCAAAAAACAAACTAACTTGAACTTTATGTTATATTGACATAAAAATTTACCCTTATTAATCATTAAACATTTTTAAAAAAGGCAAATTTCATAGGATTTTATACAAGAATGAAATTTTATGTTATTTATAATCCGTACAATGTACTTATATAGTTATATACGCCATATATCTCTATTTTGTTGGCATGTTTTGACCGGCACAATATTTTATAGCATACTTTGACTGGCACAAGTTATTTATACAAATTTAAGTGAATTATCTTTTGTGACAATTAATAATTAAGGTTTTTATTATTTTTATTTTATATATATATAGTTTTTTTTTTTTTTTTTTTGACGGAAAGCACAGCTTTTATTATATCACCAAGTGTTCAATATCGTTACACAAAGCTCCTTGAATTTCAGGAGGATACTCTTCAAGCCATACACGATATTCACTAAAGGAAAAGCTTAATTTAGCTGAAGTATGAGCAACATTGTTTCCTGTCCTCTTAACAAAAGAGAACACACACCTCTGACAACTATTAGCAAGCGTCAAAATCTCCTTGACCACAGAACCAAAGTGGCTAGGAGTCACTGAGGTTGTTTTCAACTGGTGGAATAAATGAATACTATCAGTTTCCAGAGCAAATTTCGTGAAGCCCGCTTCCATTGCTGTCCTGAGGCCGCATCTCATCGCAAGATCTTCGCCTACATCCACATCAACATTCCCGTAAATTGTCGAGCAATACACCATCATCACAGCTCCTTCTTCATCCCTCAGGACCCCTCCAATACCCAGACGCATATTCCGGAAGGCTGCATCGGTGTTTAGTTTGTACAGTCCATCAGTAGGAGCTTTCCACCTTACCCTGATTTGCTGTTCCTGTGGCACAGTCCCCTCAGGAGCATTTGCTTCATCAAATTCTCTCACCAGGTAAAGAGCTTTTTGGATAGTAATTGTTTCATCTTTCTTAAATTTATCAAACACCCAAGCATTACGTTTCAGCCATATACCCCACGCCAAGCACCAAAAATTATCCCACCAAATTTTCTCCTTTATCTTTCCCTGCATTATAATGCACCATTCTCGAAAGTCATTTGCATCAATTGCCTTCGTCTCCAGCCGCAGCACCGAGTGACGCCAAATAGAGGTTACGGAGGAGCAGAAAAGGATTATATGTGCTATGGTTTCTTCACTCTCCCCGCACATTGGGCAGCGATCATCAACCTGCATGCCCTTTGCCTTCAATCTGCTCATCACAGGCAATCCTTCCCTCACGCTCCTCCAAGCAAATAATTTGACCTTTGGGGGAACACGAGCATGCCAAATGTTTTTCCAATGGAAAGCTACCTGCCGTGCTGATGGGGAAGCCTTCTCCCTGATCTCTTCTTCCACCAACATATTGTAAGCACTCTTGACACTATACTTCCCATCCTTTGAAAAATGCCATGACCAGCTATCCTCCTCATCAAAAATCGGGACTGGTATACTACAGATTGCATCCACTTCCCGCTGCGAGAATAACACATTTAGAATAGGCAAATTCCATTTCTGATCTTCCCACAAGTCCTTTACAATCGGGACTGGTATATATAGTTATTGAATTGTAGTGTTAATTATTATAAATAAATCAACAAATATATAATAAAAGTTAATGTGATGATCATGGTTGGAGCAAAAAAATTCAAAGGAAAAAATACGATGTAAAATGATACGGAGTATGGGAGTAGTACATTATTCTAATAATATTACCTTATATACGTAGTATATATTTGTTAATTATAGAAAAATACCTATTATAACATATATGAAAGATATGTTAAAATATTTTCATTGAATGCATATAGAATATACTTAAAATATAGTTGCCAAATATACTTAGAATAAATTAACATGCATGAAGATTTGAAAAAAAAAAAAACAAAAGTGACAGTGGCGGGAAATTTTTTAATCAGAACATGACAAGTGTTATGTCAAATTCGCTTTAAGTATTATGTTATTGATTCTTTTTAATTTTTTTGAATAAGAAAAGAAGAAAAAATTATTTGCGTAATTTATTTTAAACTATTTTTGGGAGCAAATTTTAAAAAGACATCTACAAATTAACAAATTTAAAACTCAAATTCTGATACCCGTTTCACCTAAGAATCATTATTCAATAATATAGTATGTTGGTCGTTGACATGAGAAATACCCAATCCCCTTTACAACCATATGTGGCCTTTAATTCACTTATAACCCTAAAACAAAATAATCAAGGAACAAAACAATTATTAATCAGAAATTACTTTGGCCTTCAAAAGTTTGCCGAAATTGCCAATTACCAGGCACAACATTATCAGCTTGAACCGTTTTACCATCACTAGTAGTAACTTGGAATGACAAACCTTGCCCTAATAAATTTTGAGTAAATTGCCAATTTTGCCCCCAATTACGTTCCATTTGCAACCAATCATTCGAATTAGACGGCTTAATCTTAACATTAGCAACATCTCCTGCACCTCCAACATTAAACACTAGTACAAGTAACCAACCTTGGTTCCCTTGTAGTAGGAACTTAACGCCACCTTTCTTAACACAAGGAACTCGACGAAACTGAACTGGAACAACCCCGGCTTCATATTTTGCAATTATTTCAAACATCTTTAGTGATAAATCAAAGTGTTTTTGAGGAGGATTACACCATATATCGACTGTTTTTGTGTAATTAGGAGGGCAAAAATTGGTGGCCGTGATCTTAATAGTTTTAGCATCGGGTAAACAATTTTTCGAGTTTATGCATTGTATCTCGTAACATGATCCACATGCCGATCCATTGTTGAATAATGCTGTGCTTAATGCTGCTGTCTCAAGACCGTAACCTTGATCGAATAGGTTTTTATACCCACAAGCACCATCTGCAAATCAAAAATAATTTCGCAAATTATTTTAACAACAAAAAAAAATCACGCTCAATTAATAATTTTACGTGTCTCTTTAAATTGACACGGCCAGCATCTTATTAAATTGGTCAATACTATTAGTCTATTAGATTAGATCCTTTTTGACAAGTGAGTCAATTAATAAATTAAAACGAGATATTACATACAAAAACATTTGAAGTGAAAATAAAGTGAATAAATTCGAGCCTTACACATAGTTTCTCCTCCTTTCTCGTCACCGTAAAATGTGGCACGGGCATCGGTCCACCCGTCGCTAGCAGCTTGACAGCTTAACGAAAATGCTATTGTAATAGTCAAGAAACAATAAAAGAATGGCATAACTAATCTAACCATTTCTACTGTAACTTTTTTTTTTTTTTTTTTTTGAATGAATGGATTTCTACTGTAGCTGTATAGCTTATACTAGCAAAAAATTTTATGATGATATTTTTTTTAATGATTATTATGGTCAATAAACATGAATTTTATAGAGGATGAATTGGTCCAAATTTGGTAATATTTAGCTGTACGGCAATAATCTTTTGGATGTAAAGGAGCATATCTCACTTTCTATGTTTATAGTTATTCTCTGATTTTATTTTATAAAAAATCTGCTCAAAATGGAAGTAAATCACACTTTCAATGTTTGAAATAATGATACAAGTATATACAGTATATGTCCAATTTATATCATTCAGAAAATTTATTAAGAAATTATAGAAAATAAATATTTAGAAACAATAATAATTAACAAAAATTATTGTAATGCTAGCTAAGACTTCCAACCCAAACCCTATCCAACATTATTGGATCTTATACAAATCACAGCTATTATTAAGCGAATTTGGGTGTGTACATCTGATTTTCATTTATCTGAACTTATTATCTAAAATTAACTGAACTTATTTGAACTTGTTAGACCTTATAAAAACTTGCTTTAGTTGTGATTTAAACTTAGTTAACCCTTATCAAAACTTATTTTTCCTTAACTGAACTTATTTGAATTTATCTGAGCTTAACTAAACTTATTAGATCTGAAATAAAGGAAAATATGGTGAATAAAACAAACCCTAATTGGTTCGCTATAAGATACTTTAGAACAAGTGTTAAAAAAAAGATACTTTCCAACTATAACCTAATCTCATTCCATATAAGTTCATTAATAATTAGGGTGACAGTCTCACATTTAGTTTTCAATATTTATATTTATTTATGTATTTTTTCGTGAATTTTTTTTCATCTTATAGAAGTCATCTATTACAACGATTTGACTTTTAAACAACTACTGAATAAATGGCTATAATTAGATGTTTACAAAACTATTCCGTAGTTTTAAATCATTGAAAAATAAAAGATTTTAATGTTCAATGTTTTATATATGTTGGTAAACATAATCATCAAATTGTTGCTAAGAAAGCGAATGAAGTATATTTTAGAGTACATTCCTCCTGAAGGATTTACACAAGAGCTAAATTAACCAGTATTACGAGGAACTTGAACTCAAACAAACCTTTGCGATATAGTTAATTCAATTTTGCATAATGAAGTGTTTGTTCAAAGCAAATTTAAGTCTTGATTTTATGTTTAGGGAACATTTTTCTTATACTACTCCTAATATTTATATGGATCATTTATATTTTATTGACACTTTTTCGAGTTCAAAACTTTTAAATTACTTTTATTCTTTAGAAAAAAATATATGAATGCGGATATGGGGCGAACAACACTTAACAATGAAAGACTTGTAATTTAGGCTTCGTTTGGTTGCATTAGGGAAATGGAAACCCATAGGAACTTATAATTCATGAGAAGTTAATATTCCTAGAAAATGCTAAAATCATGTTTGGTTGATATGATGGAAATTGCATTTCCCATGAATTAACTTCCTATGTTTTGTTTGGTTAACCTTCTGTAATTCTCATATGTTAAATTCTACCCTAACTACTTTTTCAATATTTTGAGGGTAAAATTGTAATATTATCTAAACATACACAAGGAAATTTTGTTTGACCAAGGTATAGTGGGGGAATTAAATTCCCATATTTTGAAGGAATATTCATTTATCAAGGAAATTCAACTTCCCACGTACTTCATTACTTTGTATATGTTAACCAAACAACTATGCATATACTCACTTCTCATAAACTTCTATTTTCACCATTAGTAAAGTGTAATCAAACACGGCCTGAAGAACATTTTCCTCCCTTTTTCATTTCTAGATGAAACTAAAATAAAACCATTTCTGTGAATCTGTCTTCAAAAATAAAATCGTTTCTCTCTCCTGTTCTTCCCCGATATCCCGAAACTCTGATTTACCCCCAATCCCCAAATTCTAGGGTTTGAGACTTCCAAAATTAAACCACCCCAGTAAAATGTTACCTCAAAATCCCAATTTATCATTTCCAATTCTCTCTCTCCTCTTAATCTCCTTCACCCAAATCGTAAAATCCGATACCCAATCTTCCATCATTCAATTACCCACCAATAATTTCGTCAGTGATTCTAATTTATGCTCAACAGAAGAATCTTCTGGAAAATCTTGCCCGATTAAATGTTTTCGACCCGACCCGGTTTGCGGCGAAAATGGTGTTACTTACTGGTGCGGTTGCGCTGATGCTCACTGTGCGGGTACTCGGGTCGTAAAATCTGGGTATTGTGAAGTGCAAAGTGGTGGATCGGGTCAAGCTTTTCTGTTGGTTCATTTGATTTGGCTTATTGTTTTAGGGTTTTCTGTTCTTTGTGGTTTGCTTTGAGATTTTGAGTGGATTCTTTTGTAATAGTACATTTTTTAAGAAGGGATTGTTGTTATATGTAATTGAGAAAATGGGGTTGTAATTTTTATTTTTCATAGGGGATTATTGATTTTTGTGTGTATTCAATTATTCATTTGTGAATCTAATATTGTAATGTAACTGGAATTTGACAAATTTATATTGGAAATTAATTATACTAGTATATTGTTTGATTTTTTTGTTTGTAGTACGAAGTATATTGATTTTTTCCATGGTAATCTTGTGTAATTGTTGCATTTGGCAAAAATTTCTATGAAAATATTGTCTGATTTACCTGCTGTTCAACGGTTGCATTTTAGTAGTGCTGTTTTGGACTGGTGTTGAACTGTTGATAGAGTTGCACTGAGGTGGTAGAGATGGAGAGGGTTGCAATGCTGGAATGATTGATGTCGAATGACCCAACTTCTGTTCTATGTTGGAATGGTGCACCTCACAGCTGAAAGTCTGAAACTCTAGCTGGTGCAGAGTCCGTTTTGGCAGCGATCAGGGAGTGAGTTCGGGGGTGTGCAGCGAGTTGCTGCTGTTTAGTAGCCACCTGAATTTCGTTTCCTTGAAGAGCATTAGAATCCTTATGTCAGCTATATTCACAATGATTATAGAACAAAACATTAGGTTAAAACTAAACTACTAACAAAAATCATTTAATGCAGTGGCCGGCCATCCTGCAACATGTACATGTAACATGGTCCAGTTACTTGGCTAATTGAGTTCATCTTTGCGGCATCTGAAGTTAATAACACAGGCTGAATGAGTGAAAGCTTGATGTAAAAGGTTGTCTTTCAGACAAAGTAATCCCCCTAATCGATATGATGCAATTTTTCCGGCATTTCTGTAGAACATAAACCATAAATACAGGAACTAACTTGATGCTAAAAATGTGCAGGACTAGAGGAGTAAAACAACCATTATTGCACCCCCACAAACCCTCACTAAGGACCATGACAGAAGATGTTCGAGCTGTTGTATTGCAAAGTTGGAAAAGCTATGAGCAACTTATGCAGGAATTCATGGAAAAATCTTGGTAAACTTCAACTTTGGTTTTTGAAGAAAACTGAGATACTAACCTTTAAACTTCCTAAAATAAACATTGAATTGTATGACCAACAATAGATTAAACTTTCCAGATTACAATCTAAAATGTTAATCACGAATAATGGTACACAATGCTAATGGTCTTGCCAATGGTATAGATGTCAGCAGAAATTAAACTGCAAAAGTTACACTCAAACAATCTAATACTCCCTCCGTCCTTTATTTACATGCCTATTTCTAACATTTATTACTCACATAAAAAAGAGAAATAGGCATGTTAATAAGGGACAGAGGGAGTAAGTGGTTAAGGAAATGATGTTTAATATATGTTATTCCAAACAATAAGTGGTCATACTCTAACTACAAAAATAGCTAATGAACATCAAACAAGCACCAGTGGTCTAGTGGTAGAATAGTACCCTGCCACGGTACAGACCCGGGTTCGATTCCCGGCTGGTGCAAAAAACCAAGCAGTGATGAAATTTACACATTATGTGGCCCTAAGGGTTCGCCACAACTTCAGATCTACCTGAAGACACAAAATGTGCATCTGAGCTTTGTTGTTTTTATTTTTGGCACATCTTACATAAGTTTGCTGAACATCTGTTGAATGTTGGCCTGTTGAAGTATTGAGTAATTTTTTTTTTTTTCTTGCATTAGAAACAGTAGAAGTTTGAGGTCAAGCTATAGCCAATCAGTGCAATGCTGCTTCATGATGGTATGGAGGGGCTAGGAGTCAGTGCGCGGCATAGCAATTTTGGCTGGTGCAGAGTCCTTATGGGAAGCGTTCAGGAAAGCGAGTGAGGTGCAGCCTCAAGTAATTAAGGTGTTGCTGCTATTTGGTAGCCATCTGAACCTCGTTTTATCTTGGGCCAGCTAATTAAACAACTAACTGAAATCACTAATGCAGTGCCATCCTGTAGCATGGTTAATTGGGTCCATCTTTGCAGCATCTGAAGTTAATATGACAGTTTCATATTACACACAAATGACACAGTAAATAAACGAGTGTAAATGGTTGTCTTTTGGACAAGGTAATCTCCCTAATGATAAGAATCATAAGGATAAGATGCAATTTTTCAGGCAATTCTGGAGAACATAAAACATAAATTCGGGAACTAACTCAATGCCAAAAATGGGCAGGACTGTAGTAAAAACAACCTTTGTTACACACCCATGAACCCTCACTAAAGAAGCATATAGAAGTGGTTCGAGTGGTTAAACTTCAACTATGGTATTTAAAGGTTCTAACTGGAAAACTTCCTATACCAAACATTAATTCTACCACCAACCGTTGAAAAAAATAACTTCCAATTCATAATCTAAAATGATTTAACACTAATAAGACCACGTTACGCAACAGAAGGGAAGAAACGCAGCATATAATGAAGTGCTGTTAGAATATATACTCAGTATACTCTGTTAATAATGCATACATTAAACAAGCACCAGTGGTCTAGTGGTAGAATAGTACCCTGCCACGGTACAGACCCGGGTTCGATTCCCGGCTGGTGCAAAAAGGAAGCAGTGATGAAATTTACACATTATGTGGCCCTAAGGGTTCGCCACTATTTCAGATCTACCTGAAGAAGCAAACTGTGCATTTGAGCTTAGTTGTTTTTTTTTTTTTTTTTTTTTTTTTTTTTGTGGCCAGAGCTTACATTAGTTTGCTGAACATCTGTTGACTGTTGCAGTTTTGAATAGATTCTTTTTCTCGCATTAGAATTAGTTACACTTTGTTTGAATAGAAGAAAATGGAAGGAAAAGAGGAGAAGAGAAAGGAAGGGGGCCAAACTCTCTTATTTGGGTAAAGGATTCGGGGAAGGAAGGGAAAGGGGAGAGAGGGATCCATTTTCCCTCTCCCGGCCCTTTAATGAACATAATCCCTCCAAAATTGGAGAAATTTGGAGGGAAATGGAATTCACCTCCCTCCTCCCTTTCTTTCCCCTTCCCTTCCTCCTATTTCCCTCCCCTTCCTTTCCTTCCTTATTTGTTATCCAAACAAAGCGTTAAAGTTTTAGATCAAGCTAATGCAGTGCAATGCCGCTTCCAGATGGTATGGAGGGGCTAGGAGTCAGTACACAGGATAGCAATTTTGTCTGGTGCAGTCCTTATGGGCAGTGTTCAGGGAAGCCAGTGAGGTGCAGCCTCAAATAATTAAGGTGTGCAGCAAGTTGCTGTGTTTGTTAGCCACCTGAACCTTGTATTCTTAGAGAGCATTAGAAAATAGAAACCTTAGGCCAGATAAATGGTTAATTGAGTCCGTCTTTGCAGCATCTGAAGTTAATATGACAGCTTCGTATCACTCTGTCACACACAAATGACGCAATAAATAAACGGTGTAAAAGGCTGTCTTTTAGACTAGGTAATCTCCATCCCCCTAATGATAAGAATCATAAGATGCAATTTTTCAGGCAATGCTGGAGAACATAAAACATAAATTCAGGAACTAACTCGATGCTAAAAATGTACAGGACTATAGTAAAACAACAATTATTGCTTACCCACGAACCGTCACTAAGAAGCATACAGAAGAGATTCAAGCTGTTACACACTGAGTATGAAAAGCTATGTGCAACTTATGCAGGAATGATGGGTGGTAAACTTCAACTCTGGTTTTTAAAGGTGCTAATCGGAAACTTCTTACATTAAACATATTCCTAAGACCAATCATAAAAAAAAAAAAAAAAAAAAAAAAAAAAAAAAAAAAAATCCATATCATAATTTAAAATGTTAATCATGAATCCTAGGACCATGTTACGCAAACAAAAGGGCAGAAAACACAACATATTATGAGCTGTGGAGTGTCTATTGGAAGATAACTATATAACTTCAATGTAGACCTCTATGTTCTTAGGTGGTGGATATATCATGAGAGCTAACATTACCCTCTCATAAATTACTCGAATCACTAATCACCTAACAAACCATCTAAAGTTCATCAAATCCTCATCAAAATCTTCCAATTCAATTCACAGTTTCACATAATCCCATAATATAGTTTCAGTTTGTGTATTTTTCACGGTAATTAAGGAATGAAAGGAGACAGTGAATGAAGTACATTAAAAAGATAAAAGTATAATCATTAGCAAAAGTTAGAGAGAAAATTAACTTTGTGGACATACCGTTATGTACAAAAAAAGTTATCAAACATTCAACAAGCACCAGTGGTCTAGTGGTAGAATAGTACCCTGCCACGGTACAGACCCGGGTTCGATTCCCGGCTGGTGCAAAAAACAAGTTGTGATGAAAATTGCACATATTGTGGCCCATGGGTTCGCCATTCTCTTCAGATCACCTGAAGAACTAAACTGTGCAGCTGAGCTTGACACCTTTTTAGTTTTCATTTTTATTTGGCACAGCTCACATTAGCTAGTTTGCTGAACATGTTACAGACCTTACAGTCTTGACTAGATTTTGTTTTCTGGTATGGAGGGGCTAGGAGTCAGTGTGCGGGATAGCAATCGCGCCTTGTTAGCTGCTATAAAAAGGACACCGTGATTGTGAAATGAAACGAAGAAGAATCAATTCATGCGGTAGTACATAGAACAGAATGCGCTTAACATTTGTACAATGAGCATCATACACATTTTTGTATAGGATTATATTGCTAGAATGCGTCTAATTAATATATCATACACAAAACTGTTAAGTAATAATCATATCTCCTTGTTAATAGCTGTAGTTATCTTCTTTCCTTAATTATAGCCTCTGTTTTCATTCTTTATTGACTATTATTCACGGTCAATCATATTTTAGGTTGTTACTGATTTCTAGCCTTAATTGTAGGCTTTACCGTAGCTTAGTTTCCTTTGGTAGGTTATTTGCTTTCTCTATATATAGTTGTAAATACTTACTTTGCTATTCAATACAAAATGTATACAAACTCTAATAAAAACGTGCTACTAAAATGATTTTCATAAATCAAATTCTGAAGCTATTACAGAATTATGCCCCAAGAAAGCAAAACTTTATTAATACATCAGTTAGGAAAAAAAAAAAAAACAAAGTCATACATAGTTGAACAAGTTACGAGTACAAAATCATGAATCCCTTTAGTGATTAACAGCACGGCAAGATCTTCTAATCTCTCCTTGATTTCCAGTAAGAACGCCGACTCTTCCCAAGTTAACCATAGCAGAGCCAAATCTATTGACGAAGTAATCAGGGGAATAGGCTAATTTTTTCACAATGCTGTTAGTAAGCGGAGACCTTCCTATGTTAGCATCAATCTCAAGCTTTCCTTGGTTTACCAATAGTTGCTTGTAGTAGCCATTGTCAAAGTGATAATGTTTTTTCGGATTGTACTCAAAGTAAACCTTGTTGTCAGCACCACTACCGTCTTTTGGACACATTTTCTTCAATGCGTATAGCATACCGGTATGCATCCTCGGGTCTGGCTTACCGGTGTTGTGGAAATTGTATAAACGGTGGTCAAATTTTTCACAGTGTGTGAATCCAACAGTATGTCCACCTGTATGATTGACGTTGTTATAAGCTAAATTGTATAGTCTATATAGATATTAAAATAGCATAAAGTCCATAAAATGTAACAATTTTACTTTTTTAGGTGAAATTTAAAATGCATACCTAAAAGAACAACAAAGTCTTCCTTGCTAAGTCCTCTTGAAGCAAATAGATGGACAGCGTCGCGCACTGGCAAGTTCTCTGATGGAAGATTAGCAAGGGCTTCTTCTACTTGTGAAACAACACCATCTCGTCGCCCTGTCTCTACGTAATACCATTTACCTCCAGCCTACATTGCAACTTTTTTGATTAGTTTGAGATATATATATCAAGTACATATTTGTACTAAATACTAATTAATGATGGTAAACAAATTTTGTACAAATTTGTGAGTATACCAAATGATCAAATTGAGTTTATGAAATATACTTACCAAAAAGACAGCACTTCTAGCAGCCATATTAAGTACATCAGCACAAGAGACAACTCCGGGACAAACTTTCTCTACGGCTGCCTTTGCAGCATCCACAACATTAAAACCCCTTAGGCTTGAGTTTGGTTTTGCTGTTTTCTCCGATTTTGGCCCATCAAGTAGGACTGATGCATCACATCCCTATATTTAACAAATAATCAAAACCACAAAAAGTATTAATTAGCTAATAATGATACTAAATTGATAACATCTAGCTCATTATCAAATTTACTTACCCTAACAATGCAATCATGAAACTGTAATCGGATGAGACCAGCAACAATAGTTGGATCCTTAACGAATTCAGCCTTAACTGCGCTGAAAATAATTTCTTCAACGTTGTGACCCCAACATTTATCGCTGTAGTATCCGATAGACAATTGACCATAACATTGGCTAACAAGGGTTACTAGAACGACCCCTAGGGCTAAGGCTACCGAAGGAGAGGTACACCTCATTTTCTCGAACTAGCTAGCTTGTTTAACGAAAGTACTTAATTAATTATGTTGAAGTGATGATGAGAATTGCTAAGAAACTCTCCTTTATATATATAGTGAACCTAATGTTTGTTTAAATTAAGGGATAATGAATTAACAACTAGACTTACTAGTTAACTTGCATGTTAGGGTGTATTATTTGTTGCTTATAATTGCAATCATATATACATGCATGTCATGAACGTTATGTCTACGTGAAGAAATTAATATTTAATAGCCTCATTATGCTATGATTATGGCTTTAATTTGGCTAAATAATCTTCATAAAGATTTTTTTTTGGCTTACATTCAACATTATGCCAATCATATGATTGACACATACATACCATATAAGATATAACAGACATGCTTCTTGACTTTACGAGTTTTTTGACTTGGATTAATATGACGCTAATTAATTACAAGTCAAATTATAATCCTAGATTACTTATTTACAAATTGGTGGAGGTGGGAGGTTTAAGGCACATGCAATTGTGACAAATTGATGCGACTTTGTACGTATATAATATGGTTTCTATGTCACGCTAATAAAATGGTAGGTACATGAAGATGACGATGAAGCATCAAACAATTATTAGTTTGTACTTTGAATGTTTCAAACCTAACATATATGATCTGTTAAGGATGTCTTCCATTTGAATTTGATGCTTTTTAATTAAAGATTCACATTTGGCCCATGGGCCAATAACATCGGCCGTTACATCTTGCCATGAAGTTGCCAAAATTAGTACTCTCTCCGTTTCATAATGTTAGTCCCATATGGAATTAATCACATAAAATAATATGTTTATATGGCATTAATTTAATATGGTGTACATAATTTAAATTTTCTTAATGAAAGAACACTGAGTTTATCGAGTAGAGACCTAATAAACCAAGTTCAAGGCTTCAAGTTGCTTGCAAGCGAACACATACAAGTACATTTAATTTGATTAGCACTCTAAGCATGCATCCTATAATATAAAACAAACTCTATAGTCCATGTAATATATTTCTCAAAAAGGCATACTATATTACTATAACATAATAAAAAATTTAAAAAATGGTTCAAATTATGGTTTGAATTAAAGCTCATCCTGATGATGATGGTGATGAGAGAAGGTCTCCTTCATGATGTCCGCAGTCTTGTGCACCGCCTCGCCAACCATCTCCGCCGCGGTTTTTGCAGAATCCTCCATCATCATTTTTGTTTTCTCTAAACTCTCCTCAGCTGCTTCTATTACCTTGCTCTTTTCCCTTTCATCTGCTATATTGGCTTCAACAATAGGGAGCCCTAGATCACCGTCTCTCCTAAACACCAAACAAAATTGTGAATAAATAAATTAGGTAATAACGAACCATTAAGAAAATAACCTGATGTAAGTTAAAATACATTGTCATTATAAAAGAAGAGAGGATGACCAATATATAAGGTAGTAGGCTACTCCTATCATTAATCGATTTAAAACAGATTCTTGTTAGGTTTATATGTAGTCAGACTCTCCTTCATCATAATGGGCTTATACTTTTACAAACCTCTTCGTCATAAGCTAACCATTATTATCATTTTGTTTGTCATGTGCTTACATTGAGGTTGAATGAAAATTTAGTTTGGTTGACAAGTGATACAAATTAGCTACGCTATCAAAGAGAGTATGCATAGTAACTTTTAATTTTACATGGCATGATGCTGTTAGTGGGCTAGTAGCGTCATTTATTTGGCAAAATTTCACCAAAAAATTGTTGCAATTGTTAGAACGAATACTTAAATTAAGAGATTAATTATAGAAAAATACCAAATCAAACGATAGTAACAAACTGATATATGTTCACTATCAATGCGTAATAATACTATACTTTATTTTGATTTACACAAACTTTTATAGGTTACTTACTCGCTCAGGGGCTACTAAGTCGGTCATGGGTTACTCACTCGCTCAGGGGTTATTAAGTCGGTCAGGGATTATTCACTTGCTCAGGGGTTACTTGATCGGGGGTTACTCACTCGGTTAGGGGTTACTAAGTCAGTTACGAGTTACTCACTCGGTCAGGGATTACTAAGTCGGTTACGGGTTACTCGGTCGGTCAGGGGTTACTCGTCGATAAGGGTTCCTCGGTGTATGTCGGCATGGCCGGCCCTTACCATGTGCAGCCGACACAGGGCTTGAGGCCCATATTAGTTGAAATGGTTATATACTTTGTAGTGTGCTTTAATAATACATGAGGTTGTTTAGCTCAATGGCCAGGTTATGCGCTTGTGTTTTGTTGCTGGAGAGGTCTTTTTTATTTTTTGGCATTTATTTTTTCTTTTACATAGACAATTTTTAATATGCTCATTGGTAGTATATATATATATATTTGATTTTTTCCTCAAAAAAAAAGTATATATTTGATTTTTGTATTTGACAAATATTTTGTATCAATCTAGAAGTGTCACAAATAAAAATTTGGGAAAAAAACTTAATTGTGTACACTCAACTAATATTAAAATTTATCTTGGAAAGAAATTTGTATTCATAAGACATCGGATCAAATTGCATTTAAATATCATATTATGTCGTGAATCTCCTACATCAAATAATATTTTTTATAAAATTAAGCATTTTATCTGTGTTTAATATTTTCATTTTGACATGATGATTTAAAAGGAAGGTCTAATCATATCTTAATTGCACAGGAGATCCATAATGGGCTCCGTAATGATTGGAATGGCTCTGTGTGTCAGCTGGCCACACGGTGTGATCAGCCGCACACAAAAGTTGTTTGATTTATTACAAATACACGTGAAAAAACAACTTCATACTCCGTAGTATATGCATATTGGTAATTTCATTTGACTAACTAAACAAGCACTTAATCGGCACAACCGTACAACTTAATTTAAAGTCTAAGAATAGTAATCGTGGTACTCAAAACTTGAGATTAAATTTTCATCTACGATATATAAATCAAAAAAGACGATATGATGCAAAGTAAGGGACTTACTCGATATGCTGAGAAGAAGGCCAAAAGAGGTAGAATCGTTCCGGAATAGGCGGCAGGTTGAACTTGTTCCAGTAATGGCATCCTCGACTAGTAAAACAATGCAACTGTCCTAATTTTTCTTGTAATGGAGAATTAGTGAGATAATATAATACGAAACATAGTACCATTGCTATTACAATTATTCTCCAAGTTGAAACTTTAGCCATTTATCCTAATTTGATTACAAGAACAACAAACATAATTTAATACAAGTAAATTATTACTCGTATGAATTTAACATACTCTTTTGTTTGGTATTTTATTATCAGCTCAATTGATTATGATGAGCTAGATCGTGATGGATTAGTGTTTAGGATAATTTTAAATAAAGCTTTTTTATTTTTGTTGCTACTAATTACACTGACACGTGGAATGAACTTTCCTTAAAGGTGACGTGTTTTCATGCATATAGATTTGATCAAATGTAACGTGGCTTCTTCTCCACATTCCATCGATTGATGTACGAACGAGTAGTATTTTTCGTCTTTTTCACTACTTTTCTTGTATTTTTTTTATAGTTTTTTCACCATATAGCGCTGAGTTTTAATTTAATACACCGTATATCACCAAAAACTTTCTAATTCACCATGTATCACTGAGTTTAACATAAATGTCACAACATGTCATTTTCTGTTAGTTCTGTTAGTTATTAACGTTAACTGTGACATGTGACAGCATTTAAGTGGTTCTTATTTTAAATTAATTAATTATTTAAAAAAAATATTTAAAAAAACTAAAAAAAAAAATCCCACCACCCCAAGCCCAGCCAGTCAGCCATCCTCCCCGCCCCCAGCTTGCCTTCCAACCTACCGTCGGTGCCCAAACTCCCCTTCCCCTACGCCGGCGCCGCCCCTCACCCTAGCCACGACCCTTGAAAACCACCACCACTCCTGAAAATCCATCCACAACCCCCACCACAACAATTGAAAACCACCCACAACCTATAAAACCAACCACCACTCCCAAAAATCTACCTACAACCCCCGAAACCCTTTCAACCACACCAAAACCCACCCACGAGAAGAATCGACCAGGTTAGAGGAGTGAAAAGTACAAAAAATTGGGTCTTTTGTTGGAGCTAGGGAGTGATTTCGTGGATTAGGGTTTGACCGGTGGCACGATGGGGGAAGGCAGAGGGTCGAGGTAAGGATTATAGGTAGGGGGTAGGCCGGCCGGCGATGGAGAGCCGGTATGGCCGGTCATCGAGGTGGGGAAAGCGCTGCTTGTAGGTGAGAGGGTGGTTGGGAGGTAAACTGGTGGAGGGGTTGTGGAAATTGGGGAAAGGATCAAGGGGAAAAGAGAGGGTTAGGGGCGGGGGTTGTCGCTGGTGGGGGAAGGGTGATGGACGCCTACCACCTAGGCGTCGGCCAGGGCTGGGCTGGGGGGCAGCGGTGGCTAGGTTGGTGGTGGTTTATTTATTTATTTATTTATTTATTCAGTTTTTTAATTCTTTATTTAAGTAATTAATTAAATAATATTAATAAGAGCCCATAAGTGACAGCCACGTGGCACAATTAACCTTAATTTCTAACGGAGTTAACGGCGTTAGTCATTAAGGGCATGTTGTGACATTTATGTTAAACTCAGTGGTACATGATATATTAGAAAGTTTTTGGTGGTATATGGTGAATTAAGTTAAAACTCGGTGGTATATAGTGAAAATTCCGTTTTTTATATTGGTAAAAAGTGTCTTATTGAATCAAAGTCTCTCACTAGTTAATGCGGCTCAGATACACGAATAAACTTATTGGTAGTGGGGTGGGTAGGGAAATACCATTCCTAAATCCTAAGTTACCTCTAATGATAATGATCTCACTACCTCTTAATTATGAAAAGATAATCTTATTACTAGATCAAGTACTAATTGATCTTTGTAGTTTAATATGTTTTCCATATCAGATACTTCGTATTAAATATAGTCATGTAAAATTTTATGTACCTTTTATATAAGCTTCTTAAAAAAAAAAAAAACCAAACCAACATATTACACAAATCTACTTGTATTTCTTTGATTTTACTTTGTTAAGATATATAGGTAAATATATATTTTGTTATTATCTTTTATAGTGTATATATAGTTGCCTATTCTATAGCCTGAAGTTACGCCTAATTGAAGGCATTGTACTCTGTATATATTTGACAGTTTTCAATGATAAAGTTTGAGGAATTATTTCTATTATGGTATCAGATTTTTAGGACATTCTCACGATCCTTCTTCTCTTCCGCAAGCGCCCTAACAGTCCATCTCTTCTGCTTTCTTTCTTCTTCTTTTCTTCTTCATCTTCTCAAGACAATTTCTGATCAATTGAAGAATGTAGGTGCTCCGGTATTGGAAAGTCGTCTTGTGATTAGACCTGTTCAATGGATTAGGGGCCCATTTAAAGCCCTGATCCAGCCCTTTTATAAAAGGGTTTTACCCATCCAATATTTAAATGGGGCCACTTTTAAAGGATTATTAAATAATGGACTTTTAAAGGGTTGGGTCTAAGTTAAAAACGGCTGAAATTGGGTAAATCTTATGAGGCTTTTTTTATCCTAATTTTTTCAGTTTCTAAAACTTCCTAACATCAAATTATGATACTTTAAAAATAAAAATTCCCAATTTCCCCCAAATTATGAAGCAAAAAAAAAAAATTATTCGAGCAGACTGAACTTCTACCATTTGCCTCCGGGAAAAATCGCCAGCAAAGTTTTGAAAATCTTTCGAATTCTCTCTCCTAAATCAATGTTTTCTTCAACTCCTTGATTCTCTGGATTAGTAGCAACAGGAATTCCGTTCACTGACGCCGCCGCTGCATTGACGGGAAGAAATCGCCGATGCCGGAGGAAATTCCGGGAAGGAGGAGGAAGGCAAAGGGTTGGGCATGGCGTAGAGAGGAGAGAGAACATTCGAGGGTTTGGAAGAGGTTTGCTACGGCGGAGAGGAAGAGGCGGGGTGAGTTTGAAGGTGAAGGTAGATAGCGCCATTGATGATGAAGAGGTATGAATTTGTGTAGTTATTACTTCCACCGTGTAAAAATGCAAGTCTACCGTTGATATTACGCTTTGTTAAGAGGACACACACCAGAAATATCTTGGATTTTTTTTTTTTTTTTTTGGGGTTAATTTATCCATTCTTTTTTTGGTTTTATATTTCAAAAAATTGTCATGAATATTATAACTTTTCAGCTATCTTCTAGAAATACAACAACTTTTAAATTATTTCGAAATTAAACCACTTTTGACACTAATCTTTTGGGGAATAATTTAGCAGCACAACTTAATTATAATCTATGCAGAGCAGCTTCGAGTTTCATAAGTTTTAAGTGTCTAATTTATGTCAAGAACATTGCTTAGTTACTTGATTGTAACAAATTTATGTCAAGAACATTGCTCAGTTCTCTACTTTTAACTTGTTGGCTAAGGCCCTTTGTAAGGCCCCTTAAAAGCCCTTTATAATTCTCTTATATTGTTTTTACTTCATGGTTGTTGTAGTTTGTTTATACATTTTGAATGGGCCAGGCCGGGCTGGGCTTAATAGCCCATGGACACGCTCGACCCATTTTTTATTAGGCTTGACCTAGTCTGGCCCGGCCATTCATATAAAGCCCGGCCCAGCCCTGACCCGGCCCATTGAATAGGTCTATTTGTGATTCAACTTGTTTCCGGCCTTACTCGAGCCTATAGGGGTGTGGGAACATTGATCCGGCAGAGTGATCCTTTGCCACCATTTTATCAGGCTCGTTCAATGCTCATACTTGAGGAAGCTGGATTGGCAAAGGAGGCTGCCACTGGTTCGGAGTCCGCTATGGTAGCCACCTCGAATTCAGAATTTGATGATGAGTTTTCTCACTCTGCTCACTCGGATCAATCACAAGGCTGTGTGAAAAATTCCGGCAACCGGAAGAATAATAACGACAAGAAATCCAGTGGGGGTCGTCGGGCTCCGTGGCCAGAAGTAGGGCCGTGGTAATGGCGGCCAAAAACAGCAGCAGGCAGGACAGCAGTACGGGCAACAGTGGGGAGATTCAACTCCTTGAGGTAATTTCCCACCTTGGGCTTGGATGTCTCCTTGAGCTATTCCACCTTGCCCTTATCCAACCCAAGGATGGGCTCGTGGTGCAGCAACCCCTAAACAGCAACAACAAGTTGGAATTCTTGGGCCACGTCCTCAACAAGCATTTTTGGCGAATCCGATCCAAATCAGTCCGCTTCCTAGTGTCCTACAAATATCGAAGCGGCAATGCATACCATGTCCCTCAATCCACCCGATCCCTCATGGTATATGGACACCGGAGCTACGTCTCATATGACATCATCAAATGGTAATTTCTTGTCTTAGAGCAATCATAATAGTGGTATCATTGTAGGAAATGGTCATTCAGTTTCGATTCATGGTTATGGTCATACTTGTTTACCGTCCCCTAATCCTCCCTTATCCCTAAATAATGTTCTTCATGCTCCCAAAATTATTAAAATCTTATTTCAATCAAAAAATTCACTAAAGATAACAATATGACTGTTGAATTTGATCATTTTGGGTTTACTGTGAAGGATTTTTAGACGGGGATGCCAATAATGAGGTGTGATAGCCGGGGTGACCTTTATCCTCTTACTACTTCTCTCAACAGTCAAGCTCTCCACTCTACCTTTGCAGCCATCTCTCCTACACTTTAGCATGATCGTTTGGGTCATCCGGATGCTTCTATCTTAGATGCTCTTAGGCTTAATAAAAGCATTGATTGTAATCGTTCTTCTAGTTCTAGTATTTGTCAATCTTGTGTTTTCGGAAAACATATTAAGTTGCCGTTTGTTTCTTCTAGTTCTAGTACTTGTATGCCATTTGATATTATTCATAGTGACCTTTGGACATCACCTATTTTGAGTTGTATGGGACATCGATATTATGTTTTGTTATTCGATGATCATTCTAATTATTTGTGGACTTTTCCGTTGGCTAGAAAATCGGATGTGTGAGAAATTCTTAATATTTAAATCCCACATACTCACTCAATTTGAACGCAATATCAAAAATGTGCAATGTGACAATGGGAGGGAATTTGACAATGGTCCGTTTTGGGATTTTTGTAAAGCTAATGGCATGTCCTTCCGTCTTTCTTGTCCCCATACATCACCTCAAAATGGTAAAGCCGAAAGATAAATTCGATCTATAAATAATATCACTTGTACTCTCCTTGCTCATGCTTCTCTTCCTCCGTCTTTTTGGCATTATGCTTTACAAATGGCTACATATCTTCTTAATATTCTTCCGAGCAAACTTTTGGGAAATCAATCTCCTCTACAAATCCTATACCAAAGGGTTCCCTCATATTCTCACATTAGGGTATTTGGTTGCTTGTGTTATCCCTTGAATCCATCAACCACTATCAACAACTTGCAACCTCGATCTACTCCATGTGTATTTTTGGGCTTTCCTTCTAATCACCGTGGCTACAAGTGTTATGATTTATCATCAAATAAAATTATTGTTTGTCGTCATGTGATTTTTGATGAGCAAGTTTTCCCATTTGCAAAGTTGCATACCCCCTCTCCTAATGACTATGATTTTCTGTGTGATAATATATCTCCGTATACTCTTCACCATATGCAAAATCAGTCACAAATTGTGGACCAAACTCCAATTGGTGGTCTAGATCCCACCAATAATACTCCTCCTCCTTTGAGCCCAGTCAGCCCACATACTCCACCAACTGACCGGACTGAAATAGGTGGCCTAGAACAACTAGGTAGTCCTACCCCATCTCCTAAGACTACTTCTGGCAGCCCACCATCTCCTATGTCTACTTCTCCACAAAGCCCGCTATAATACCCTTCATGATTGCTTTAAAAAGGATTTAATATGCTACTCATACCAACAAGGTGAGTCTTCCTTTTAGGGAGCTCATATGCTAAGATACTTCATAGTTAAGCGTGCTTGGTTGGGAGTAGTCTTGGGATGGGTGACCTCCTGGGAAGTTTTCTCGGGGTGCGCATGGGACAAAATGCGTTGGAAGGACTTGTGTTGGTCTGTGGGGACAATTATTGGCCCTTGATGCACATTTCGTGATAATAGGCCCCTCCCTAATTTATTTGGGGTTAGGGTGTTACAAATGGTATCAGAGCAACCCTGCAACCGCGTACTGATCGTGGGTAATTAATCCTATGTCAGTCGCCTAGCGGGGGAGAATTTTGGGGCCATATGGCCGTATCCAGTTTGGATGTAACACTTTAGCTACCAAGTTGTCATTAGGCACAACAAGGGCATTGTCGTTCTCAAGTGGAGGTGTATGTAATACCCCTCATGATTCCTTTAAAAAGGATTTAATATACTACTCATACCAACAAGGTGCATCTGTTTTTTTAGGGAGCTCATATGCTAAGATATTTCACAGTTAAGCGTGCTTGGCTGGGAGTAGTCTTGGGATGGGTGACCTCCTGGGAAGTTTTCTCGGGGTGCGCATGAGTGAGGACAAAATGCGCTGGAAGCACTTGTGTTGGTCTGTGGGGACAGTTGTTGGCCCTTGATGCGCATTTCGTGACAATAGGCCCCTCCCTAATTTATTTGGGGTCGGGATGTTACACCCACCCACCCACCTCTCCAAGCCCAAATCCTACACCTGTACATGCATCAGTAACCCACCAACCCAAATCTACTTTTATTCTACTAACCATGGTCACCCGAAGTCAAATGGGAATTTATAAGCCAAATAAAAAATATGCCATGCAAGCTTCGGTCTCTCGTTCTCCCTTACCTCATAACGCAGCTGAGGCCCTTCGGGATCCGAATTGGAAAATGGCCATGGATGATGAATATGATGCTCTTATTAAGAATAAGACGTGGGAGTTGGTGCCCCGTCCTCCTGATGTTAATGTTATTCGTTATATGTGGATTTTTGCTCATAAAGAAAAATCTAATGTTGTTTTTGAGAGGCATAAAGCCCGTCTTGTAGGTGATGGAAAAACTCAGCAGGTTGGCATTGATTGTGGCAAAATATTTAGTCCGGTGGTGAAACCGGCTACGATTCGTACAGTTCTTTCTCTTTCTCTTTCAAAAGCATGGCCAATTCATCAATTGGATGTGAAAAATGTTTTTCTTCATGGTGAGCTATAAGAAACAGTGTATATGCATCAACCATTGGGTTATCGGGATCGTCAACATCCGGATTATGTTTGTCTCTTACGTAAGTCATTATATGGTCTTAAGCAGGCTCCTTGTGCTTGGTATAAAAGATTTGCTGATTTTGTTAACTCTCTTGGTTTCACAAATAGCAAATGTGATAATTCTTTGTTTATTTACCGCAAGGGGACTGGTGTAGCTTACATTTTATTATATGTTGATGATATCATACTCACTGTGTAACACCCCAATAATTCTCTCTTTAAAAACCTGTAAATACCTTTAACAATTTGCAAGAGAATTACTGACGTGCTACCGCCACGTGTTCAAACGTTTAGGCTAGTTCAGAATTTAGCAGTGGAAAAACTAACTCAATTATGAATGAGTTTCAAAACCAAAAATCAAAACCAAATTTAGTCTTACAAGTCGGAACCATTAAGGCCCTTATTCAAAACCCAATAAAAGTAGTAAATAAATCAAACCAGAGTTTAATTAAATCCAAACTTTTGAAATGAAATATACTGTGGAAATATCCAACACTCCACTCAAAATCCCACCACCTTGATGCAAGTTCTGATTATGTATAAACCTGTGATTAATCTGCTCCCCAATATTACAAGTGTAAAAATTAGATCATTACAGGGTCATTGAAAGGCGAAGGCCATGACCAAGAAAGACACACAAAAGCACACAATCAGCAACGCTGAGTACATACAAGCTACGAAATATAGCAAAGAGCCCTAGCATGTTACTAAAAATCAATCTGCACACACACAATATAACCAATGACTCGAACACATGACTCAATTGTTAACATTACTAAGACTTCACTAATTAATAATAGATAATTCATTTCATTCATTGATTGGATTAAGCAATAGACCAGGTTGTCCCCCTATGCTCCATTTCGGAACATTAATAAAAGAAAACCCTATGCCTCCTTTCGGAAACATTAATAAACATCCAATGGTAGACGGGTGCGACTCCGTGGCCATAGCTAGTATGAGATCTCATCTAACTCCTTATAATTTTAAAAGTATTTGAAAACAAGAGACTCGTAGATTAGACGGCCTCTGAAAAGTACACGGCTAATACCCCGTGAACCTCAACTCCTATTTGTCAATACTCTAGATGTGCACAAATCCAGAGTTTTATTGCTCATCCTTCTTGCGCTTTACGTGATTTACCAGTTCAAACTTAGTGATGACTCTAATGCAAAATAATACAATCAATCAAACATTAATCACTCAAGCAATTCAAATTTCCAATTCAAGTCTTGATTTATTAGTGACAAACAATATTTATTATTGAGTCCTTTAACTACCTCGGTGTATAAGCACCTCAAGTGCATAAGGCACCTCAAATCCTCGACCTCGTCTTATAAGACTTTAAATCTCCCTTTACTCATTCCATTTCCTTAATCATGAACGAGTAATACAATAATTCATTCCACATATTCACGTACCTTTGCCTCTAAGCTCATCTTGCATGTTAATGCATAAATAATACTTACAAGATAAATAATGCATAAATAATACTTACAAGATAAATTAATACGCATTTCTCATATACGAAACAAAACCAATCATCACATTATTCGCCAATCAAACTTACTACCATACAATTCCAATCAATCTACAAGTTTCCTAACATGATTCTAAGGTTTTCCAAGTCCTTAAACATGCTTCTAAATTCAAGGTTTTCGTATCCTTGTACGTACCTTGAGTACACGAGTTGGTTGGCCACTTTAAAACTATAAATCACCTTCTACGAAGTCCTCTCCTAAACAAAACAACAATAGTTCAATCAATACCCAAACAATATGATTTACAGCAATACTAACTTACTTTAAAACCTCCAAAATTTAATTAAATAGCACTTTGAAACCTTCCCTTTTACTAGAATTAAAAGCTTATGCATAGTTACTTATGTTTCTTTCATAAAAACTTAAAATACCTCTTTATATATGAAATTATAGCATGTTTTAGCTACTAACCAAATCTGAAAATATAGTTTATACGCATCCTTTGCAAATTTAACAACCCATACTTGTAATAATGGGATAATAGCTTAAATATACATGTAGAAACATTAAATCCTATTATTTTTTATACCAAAGCAATAAAATTTAGATTACAAAAAATCTGGAAATTTAATTTGAACTTCAAACTTGATACTTAAAAAAAAAACTATTAACATACATTAATCATAATGGTCATGTAGTGTATTGAAAACTCTAAGAAACATGATTTAGAATGCTTTAAATCCCCAAATCTATATTTTTAATAAATCTGAAAATTTATTTATAACATCAATCCTTCGTTAAAAATCTAAAACTGCCCAAAAATCATATTTAGAGGCTGAATTTGGCCACGAGAGGGTGGTGATCATTACCATAGGTAGTGTGGTTTGATTAAAACGTCGTTTACACACGAAAAACACTATTTTTTAGTAAAAATTGGACGAGTTAGAATCTAAACGTGATTAAAAATAAATTAAGGTCGGAGATCATAAGTTGATTACGGAAAACTGAAAATTTGTTTTTATGCTTAATTAATCATTAAAAATTCAATAGGAACAAAAGCCCCAAATTAATTGATCATTAGAACCCTAAAATCCCAATTTAACTAAATTAAAACCTAGGTTTAAAATTACAAAATCTGAAAATTAAAACAACAATTATAATCTGAAATTATTAGTTTAAAACATCAAAAACATGATTTTGATACTAAATAAACTAATTTCAAGCAATAAAAATCAAAACCCAAAAATCAATTACATAAGCTTTATGAAAATAATA